GTGGTGAGGGTGGTGAGGGTGGTGGTGGTGAGGGTGGTGGTGGTGGTGAGGGTGGTGGTGGTGGTGAGGGTGGTGGTGGTGAGGGTGGTGGTGGTGGTGAGGGTGGTGGTGGTGAGGGTGGTGAGGGTGGTGGTGGTGAGGGTGGTGGTGAGGGTGGTGGTGAGGGTGGTGGTGAGGGTGGTGTGGGTGGTGGTGAGGGTGGTGAGGGTGGTGGGGGGGGTGGTGGTGAGGGTGGTGGTGAGGGTGGTGGTGGTGAGGGTGGTGGTGAGGGTGGTGGTGGTGAGGGTGGTGGTGAGGGTGGTGAGGGTGGTGGTGGTGAGGGTGGTGAGGGTGGTGGTGATGGTGGTGGTGGTGAGGGTGGTGGTGGTGAGGGTGGTGGTGAGGGTGGTGGTGGTGAGGGTGGTGGTGATGGTGGTGGTGGTGAGGGTGGTGATGGTGGTGGTGGTGGTGGTGAGGGTGGTGGTGGTGAGGGTGGTGGTGGTGAGGGTGGTGGTGGTGAGAGTGGTGGTGGTGGTGAGGGTGGTGAGGGTGGTGGTGAGGGTGGTGGTGGTGAGGGTGGTGGTGGTGAGGGTGGTGGTGGTGAGGGTGGTGGTGGTGCGGGTGGTGGTGGTGGTGAGGGTGGTGGTGGTGGTGGTGAGGGTGGTGGTGGTGAGGGTGGTGGTGGTGGTGGTGAGGGTGGTGGTGGTGAGGGTGGTGGTGGTGAGGGTGGTGAGGGTGGTGGTGGTGAGGGTGGTGGTGGTGAGGGTGGTGGTGGTGAGGGTGGTGGTGGTGAGGGTGGTGGTGGTGAGGGTGATGAGGGTGGTGGTGGTGAGGGTGGTGGTGGTGAGGGTGGTGGTGGTGAGGGTGATGAGGGTGGTGGTGGTGAGGGTGGTGGTGGTGAGGGTGGTGGTGGTGAGGGTGGTGGTGGTGAGGGTGGTGGTGATGGTGGTGAGGGTGGTGGTGATGGTGGTGAGGGTGGTGGTGGTGAGGGTGGTGGTGGTGAGGGTGGTGGTGGTGAGGGTGGTGGTGGTGAGGGTGGTGGTGGTGAGGGTGGTGGTGGTGAGGGTGGTGGTGGTGAGGGTGGTGGTGAGGGTGGTGGTGAGGGTGGTGGTGGTGGTGAGGGTGAGGGTGGTGGTGGTGGTGGTGAGGGTGAGGGTGGTGGTGAGGGTGGTGGTGGTGGTGAGGGTGGTGGTGAGGGTGGTGGTGAGGGTGGTGGTGGTGAGGGTGGTGGTGGTGGTGGTGAGGGTGGTGGTGAGGGTGGTGAGGGTGGTGGTGGTGAGGGTGGTGAGGGTGGTGGTGGTGAGGGTGGTGATGGTGGTGGTGGTGAGGGTGGTGGTGGTGAGGGTGGTGATGGTGGTGGTGGTGAGGGTGGTGGTGGTGAGGGTGGTGGTGATGGTGGTGGTGATGGTGGTGGTGAGGGTGGTGAGGGTGGTGGTGGTGAGGGTGGTGGTGGTGAGGGTGGTGGTGGTGAGGGTGGTGGTGAGGGTGGTGGTGAGAGTGGTGGTGGTGAGAGTGGTGGTGGTGAGGGTGGTGGTGGTGAGAGTGGTGGTGGTGAGGGTGGTCAGGGTGGTGGTGAGGGTGGTGGTGGTGAGGGTGGTGGTGGTGAGGGTGGTGGTGGTGAGGGTGGTGGTGAGGGTGGTGGTGAGGGTGGTGAGGGTGGTGAGGGTGGTGGTGGTGAGGGTGGTGGTGAGGGTGGTGAGGGTGGTGGTGGTGAGGGTGGTGGTGGTGAGGGTGGTGGTGGTGAGGGTGGTGAGGGTGGTGGTGGTGAGGGTGGTGGTGGTGGTGGTGGTGAGGGTGGTGGTGGTGAGGGTGGTGGTGGTGAGGGTGGTGAGGGTGGTGGTGGTGGTGGTGAGGGTGGTGGTGGTGAGGGTGGTGGTGGTGAGGGTGGTGGTGATGGTGAGGGTGGTGGTGATGGTGAGGGTGGTGAGGGTGGTGGTGATGGTGGTGGTGAGGGTGGTGAGGGTGGTGGTGATGAGGGTGGTGGTGGTGAGGGTGGTGAGGGTGGTGGTGAGGGTGGTGAGGGTGGTGGTGAGGGTGGTGAGGGTGGTGGTGAGGGTGGTGGTGGTGAGGGTGGTGAGGGTGGTGGTGAGGGTGGTGGTGGTGAGGGTGGTGGTGGTGGTGGTGGTGAGGGTGGTGGTGGTGAGGGTGGTGGTGGTGAGGGTGGTGGTGGTGAGGGTGGTGGTGGTGAGGGTGGTGGTGGTGAGGGTGGTGAGGGTGGTGGTGGGGAGGGTGGTGGTGAGGGTGGTGGTGGTGAGGGTGGTGGTGAGGGGGGTGGTGGTGAGGGTGGTGGTGGTGGTGAGGGTGGTGGTGGTGGTGAGGGTGGTGGTGGTGAGGGTGGTGGTGAGGGTGGTGGTGAGGGTGGTGAGGGTGGTGAGGGTGGTGGTGGTGGTGAGGGTGGTGGTGGTGAGGGTGGTGAGGGTGGTGGTGATGGTGGTGAGGGTGATGGTGGTGGTGGTGAGGGTGGTGGTGGTGGTGAGGGTGGTGAGGGTGGTGGTGGTGAGGGTGGTGGTGGTGGTGAGGGTGAGGGTGGTGGTGGTGAGGGTGGTGGTGGTGAGGGTGGTGGTGGTGAGGGTGGTGGTGGTGATGGTGGTGGTCGTGAGGGTGGTGGTGAGGGTGGTGGTGGTGGTCGTGAGGGTGGTGGTGGTGGGGGTGGTTGAGGTGGTGGTGGTGGTGGTGAAAGTTTCAAGCGAGAATTTCATCATCACTTGCAGCTGTGACTCATGCAGCTGCAATGGCTGCTTTGGGTACGTGGTCCAGACCTCCCCAGAGACCCTGGCTGACAGAGGAGGTGTTCAGGATGTTTGAGAAAAAGGGACAGGCCCACTGTCATCGGCTACAGCATCCCACGTCAGAGAATGAGGAGGCTTACCGCAGCCTTCGCTCGGAGGTTCGGAGAGCCGTGAGGCGCTGCAAGGATGGGTAGTGGTTGCGGGTTGCTGAGGAGATGGAGTCTGCCTCAGTGGCCTGCGATCACAAATCTCTATTTAACTCCATCAAAAAAGTTACCTGCAGCGCCACACCTATTACCATCATTAGGGGAAAGAACGGTGATCCAATCTCCGACCCCCAGGAACAGGTTTGCAGATTTGCTGAACATTTCTGTGAGGTCTTGGGGGAGGGAAAATCCCTCAGCCAGGAAAACATCGTGGCACAAAGTGGGGATGACCCTGCTGAGGCAGCGGTGCCTCAAATATTGCAGGAGGAAGTCACCCCCTGTGAGTGGCTGGCTGAGGTGCCATCTGTTGAGGAAGTACTGAAGGCAATCCGGAGTCTGAGACCAGGAAAGGCAGCGGGCAGAGATGATCTCCCAAGCGAAATGCTGAGGGAGGGTGGCGTTTGTGCACAGACTGCCCTATATGACATCATAACAACAGTCTGGACCACTGGACGGGTTCCGCAGGATTGGAAGGATGCCCTGGTGGTCCCCCTCTTTAAGAAGGGGGACCGCACAGACTGTAACAACTACAGGGGCATCTCACTCCTCAGTGTGCCGGGAAAGGTCCTGGCAAGGATTATTCAGCATCGCCTTGCCAGGCACGCTGAGGAGAGGCTTGCAGATCCTCAATGTGGTTTCAGGAAAGGGCGGTCCTGCACAGATGCCATATTTTCTGTCCGTCTGCTACAGCGGAGGTGTAGGGAATTCCAACAAGACCTACATCTCTGCTTTATTGACCTGGTCAAGGCCCATGATACCATCAGCAGGCCTGGGCTCTGGGTCGTTCTTCGTTCTTTTGGAGTACCTGACCCTCTGCTCACGATCATTAAGGACCTTCATGATGGTGAGCGGGCCCGGGTAAAACTACGTGGCCGGGAGTCGGAGCCATTCCCCGTTCACCTTGGGGTGCGACAGGGAAGTCTTCCTCTGGCTCCCACATTTTTTAACATCTATTTCTACCACGTGGTTCGTGAAGCCTTCGATGGCTGTACCGGAGGAATTTCCATCCGGTACAGATACAGTGAGTGGCTCCGACGCGATGAAATCTTGAATGGTTTCTTAATAAATCTTCGGTCCAGTCGGCTGTCTCTCTTCTCACTCGCACTGCCGATGGCACGTGGCGCTCGGCCGCTCTCCGGCACGCCGCCGGCTGCCGGCGCCCTCGGGAGCGGTGAGCGGCTGAAGGTGGAGCCGCCACGTGGCCCATGGAGACGTAGGGGCGGCGGCGGCGGCGGCGGCGGCGACGGGGAGCTCCTCTTGATTCGTCGCGCGCCGACCCCCCGCCGATATTCGCTCCCCGGCGACTAAACCCCGCCCCTGGCCACGCCCCTCTTGGAACCTTCTGGAGCGTTCCAGAGGCTTCCCGGGTGGCTCCGCCCCATGACCTTTGGCCGAGATGTAATCATTTCCCCGAGATAACCCAGAACTGCATATCACGCCACTCCCCACGTAATACAGGAGATGGCGCTCTCGTTACACGGACACAATGGGAGGCTGATCGGCGCCCGGGTGCGGTCAAGGGATGGCTCCCTATTGCTCAACCACGTTATGTATGCTGATGATTTGGGAGTTTCTGCGCACTCAGAGGAGGAGGAGTTGGAGACGCTGCTGCTGAGACTGGAGCGTGCCACTAAGAGATGGGGCCTTACCATCAGCCCCTCCAAAACTAAGCACCTGCCTGGGTATTTTGTACCATCGGACACTCCACCCCCACAACTCCCAATCGTTGATGGGGCAGTTGTGGAGAGAGTGGAGAGTTTCCCATACCTGGGCAGTGTGCTCATGACTGGCTCCAGTTTAACAGCAGAGGTCTCGCTCCGAATCAGTCGAGCGGTAATATCTTTTCATTGGTTGCGTAACGCTGTGTGGAAGCTACCTGGTCTGTCGCTCCGCACTAAGCTTCAGGTCTTCTCGGCCACGGTCATTCCCTCCCTTCTCTACGCTTGCGAAACGTGGACCCCCCCCTAATGGAACATCTCTCTCCCCCCCCTCCCTCTCCCCCTCCCTCTCCCCCCCCTACCCCTCCCCCCCTACCCCTCCCTACCCCTCTCTCCGTCCCCTACCCCCCCCCCCGTCTCTCCCCCAGATGGCCCCTATGGAGCGTTTGCCGGCCGCGATGCCTCCCGTGGCCTGGCGTCCTTCCGGCTGGACACGGACGCCCTGCGGGACACCTATGACGACCTCTCAGACCTCACCGCTGTGCAGACGGAGAGCGTGCGGGAGTGGGAGATGCAGTTCATGGGTCAGAGACTCGCGCAGAGACTCACGCAGAGACTCACGCAGAGACTCGCACACACACAGAGACTCACTCACTCAGAGACTCACTCAGAGACTCACGCAGAGACTCACACAGAGACTCACTCACTCAGAGACTCACTCAGAGACTCACACAGAGACTCACGCAGAGACTCACTCAGAGACTCACACACTCACTCAGAGACTCACACAGAGACTCACGCAGAGACTCACGCAGAGACTCACGCAGAGACTCACTCAGAGACTCACTCAGAGACTCAGAGACTCACACAGAGACTCACTTAGGGACTCACGCAGAGACTCGCACAGAGACTCACTCAGAGACACGCAGAGACTCACGCAGAGACTCACTCAGACTCACTCACTCAGAGACTCACTCAGAGAATCACTCAGAGACTCATGCAGAGACTCACGCAGAGACTCAGAGACTCACACAGAGACACACAGAGACTCACTTAGAGACTCACGCAGAGACTCACTCAGAGACTCACTCAGAGACTCACACAGAGACTCACGCAGAGACTCGCACAGAGACTCACGCAGACACTCACACAGACTCACACACACACAGAGACTCACTCAGAGACTCACTCAGAGACTCACTCAGAGACTCACGCAGAGACTCACGCAGAGACTCACTCAGAGACTCACTCAGAGACTCACTCAGAGACTCACTCAGAGACTCACTCAGAGACTCACGCAGAGACTCACTCAGAGACTCAGAGACTCACTCAGAGACTCGCTCAGAGACTCACGCAGAGACTCACACAGAGACTCACTCAGAGACACTCACTCAAGAGACTCACACAGAGACTCACGCAGAGACTCACTCAGAGACTCACACAGAGACTCACTCAGAGACTCACTCAGAGACTCACACAGAGACTCACTCAGAGACTCACGCAGAGAGTCACTCAGAGACTCACTCAAGAGACTCACTCAGAGACTCACGCAGAGACTCACTCAGAGACTCACGCAGAGACTCGCGCAGAGACTCACTCAGAGACTCACTCAGAGACTCACTCAGAGACTCACCTCAGAGACTCACTCAGACTCACCCACCACAGACTCACTCACCACAGACTCACTCACCACAGACTCACTCACCACAGAGACTCACCACAGAGACTCACCACAGAGACTCACCACAGAGACTCACCACAGACTCACTCACCACAGACTCACCACAGAGACTCACCACAGACTCACCACAGACTCACTCACCACAGAGACTCACCACAGACTCACTCTCCACAGACTCACCACAGAGACTCACCACAGACAGACTCACCACAGACTCACTCACCACAGAGACTCACCACAGACTCACTCACCACAGGGACTCACCACAGACTCACCACAGAGACTCACCACAGACTCACTCACCACAGACTCACCACAGAGACTCACCACAGAGACTCACCACAGACAGACTCACCACAGAGACTCACCACAGACTCACTCACCACAGACTCACCACAGACTCACTCACAGACTCACCACAGACTCACTCACCACAGACTCACTCACCACAGACTCACCACAGAGACTCACCACAGACTCACCACAGAGACTCACCACAGACTCACTCACCACAGACTCACTCACACAGACTCACCACAGAGACTCACCACAGACTCACTCCCCACCGACTCACTCACCACAGACTCACTCACCACAGACTCACTCACCACAGAGACTCACACCACAGAGACTCACCACAGAGACTCACCACAGACTCACCCACCAGACTCACCACAGAGACTCACCACAGACTCACTCACCACAGACTCACTCACCACAGACTCACTCTCCACAGACTCACTCACCACAGACTCACCACAGACTCACTCACAGACTCACCACAGACTCACCACAGACTCACTCACGACAGACTCACCACAGAGACTCACCACAGACTCACCACAGACTCACTCACCACAGAGACTCACCACAGAGACTCACCAGAGACTCACCATAGACTCACTCACCACAGACTCACCACAGAGACTCACCACAGACTCACCACAGACTCACTCACCACAGACTCACCACAGAGACTCACCACAAAGACTCACCACAGACTCACCACAGAGACTCACTCACCACAGACTCACCACAGAGACTCACCACAGACTTACTCACCACAGAGACTCACTCACCAGACTCACTCACCACAGAGACTCACTCACCACACAGACTCACTCACCACAGACTCACTCACCACAGACTCACTCACCACAGAGACTCACCACAGAGACTCACCACAGAGACTCACCACAGACTCACCACAGAGACTCACTCACAGACTCACTCACCACAGACTCTCACCACAGAGACTCACCACAGAGACTCACCACAGAGACTCACTCACCACAGACTCACTCACCACAGAGACTCACCACAGAGACTCACTCACCACAGACTGACTCACCACAGAGACTCACTCACAGACACACTCACCACAGACTCTCACCACAGAGACTCACCACAGACTCACCACAGAGACTCACCACAGAGACTCACCACAGACTCACTCACACACAGACTCACCACAGAGACTCACCACAGAGACTCACCACAGACTCACTCACCACAGAGACTCACTCACCACAGACTCACTCACCACAGAGACTCACCACAGAGACTCACTCACCACAGACTCACTCACACACAGACTCACCACAGAGACTCACTCACCACAGAGACTCACTCACCACAGACTCACTCACCACAGAGACTCACCACAGAGACTCACTCACCACAGACTCACTCACACAGACTCACCACAGAGACTCACTCACCACAGACTCACTCACACACAGACTCACCACAGAGACTCACTCTCCACAGACTCACTCACCACAGAGACTCACCACAGAGACTCACTCACCACAGACTCACCACAGAGACTCACCACAGACTCACTCACCACAGACTCACCACACACAGAGACTCACCACACACAGAGACTCACCACACACAGAGACTCACCACAGAGACTCACCACACACACAGACTCGCTCACCACAGACTCACTCACCACAGACTCACTCACCACAGACTCACCACAGAGACTCACCACAGACTCACTCACCACAGACTCACCACACACAGAGACTCACCACACACAGAGACTCACCACAAAGACTCACCACAGACTCACTCACCACTCACCACAGACTCACTCACCACAGACTCACTCACCACAGACTCACTCACCACTCATCACAGACTCACCACAGACTCACTCACCACAGACTCACTCATCACAGACTCACTCACCACAGAGACTCACTCACCACAGAGACTCACCACACAGACTCACCACACAGACTCACCACAGAGACTCACCACAGAGACTCACCACAGAGACTCACTCACCACAGAGACTCACCACAGAGACTCACCACAGACTCACTCACCACAGAGACTCACCACACAGACTCACTCACCACAGACTCACTCACCACAGACTCACTCACCACAGACTCACTCACCACACAGACTCACCACAGAGACTCACCACAGAGACTCACTCACCACAGAGACTCACCACAGACTCATTCACCACAGAGACTCACCACACAGACTCACTCAGCACAGACTCACTCACCACAGACTCACCACAGAGACTCACTCACCACAGAGACTCACCACAGACTCACTCACCACAGACTCACCACTCACCACAGACTCACCACACAGACTCACCACACACACAGACTCACCACAGACTCACTCACCACAGAGACTCACCACAGAGACTCACCACAGACTCACTCACCACAGAGACTCACCACTCACCACAGACTCACCACACAGACTCACTCACCAAACAGACTCACACAGAGACTCACCTCCCCCCCCCCGTGCCCCTACAGAGAAGTATCGCTACGTTGGGCGCCTGCTCCGCCCGGGCGAGGAGCCGGCGGACTACACGGACGAGGAGGACCTCCGGGACACCTCCAGGGACAACTGACGGCAGCGCTCGGCACGGAGGGGCGGCAGCAGCGGCAGCAGCAGCTGCCTACGACGGCGATGCGATTGGTCGATCCGTGGGAGGGGAGGTGGCTCTGGGTGGGCTGGGGGCGGGGTGGTCACGGTGGGGAGGGCGGTTAGGGTCAGGAAGCTGGACTGCACTGGACCCGGACTGGACTCGACCGGATCAGACCGGACCGGACCGGATCAGACGGGACTAGACCGGACTGGACCAGATCAGACGGGACTAGACCAGACTGGACCGGACTAGACCGGACCAGATTAGACTAGACTGGACCGGAATGGACCAGACTGGACCAGATCAGACTGGACTAGACCGGATAAGACCTGACCGGACTAGACCCGACTAGACCTGACTGGACTAGACCCGACTGGACCGGATCAGACTGGACTAGAGGGAGTGCCGAGCACCCGGTTTGCTTGGGCGAGTCCAAAGATGCGATTGATCGAAGTGAACGCGCTGCGACGCGATTGGATGATGAATTTAGCGAGCGAGCCTCGCGATTGGACATTCGTTTAAGTGAGCGAGCGCCGCGATTGGTTGTTGTCGGTGCGCAGGCGCCGCGATTGGCCGAATCTTGACGGGGCGCCGCGATTGGCCGAATCTTGACGGGGCGCCGCGATTGGCCGAATCTCGCCGGGCTGCGAATAGCGATGATGCGTCTACTCGGCACTGCGATTGGCCAAATCGTGAACGATCGCTGTGTCCGAACGAGGGGGTAGGGGAGAGGGGGTAGGGGAGAGGGAAGCTTCGCCATTGGCCCGGCGTCTGGAACGCGAATGCCCGACGCCCGATTGGCCGAGCGTGGCGGCGTCGGCGGAAGTCGCGTGAATGTGGGGGGTGGGGGCGGCTTGCGGCCATACTGGGCTCCACGTCCGCTCGTGGCTCACGGGAGCCGTGGCGAGTGGGGCGCTTTGCCTGCCACGCCCGGGGGCCGTGGGTCCGATCCCGACCGCGATGAGGCCCGCTGCTGTGTACTTGGGCTCCGCGTGTGTCTGGGCTCTCTCCCCCGCGGTGGCCGCGTGGATCTACGCTGCTGCTATAAATTCCCACGCGATGATGAACCACTTTGGCGTTTTGAGTGGGTGGGTTTTTGAGTGGGTGGGTGAGCTGGTTGGGGGCGAGTTGGAAGGCATGGGCCAGATCAGCTCAGTAACAACGGTAGGAGGCTGCTGGACTTCTGTGCAGGCCATGGGCTTGTTATTACCAACACGCTGTTCCGGCATCGGAGCATCCACACAACATCACGGATGCACGCCGGGTCCAAGCAAGAACATCTGCTGGACTACATAGTGACGGACCAGCGGATGCGAGCCCATGTCCTTGACACCAGGACCTACCGTGGAGCTGATCTGCCCTCTGACCATCGACTTGTCATCTGTAAGATGCGCCTGCCATTCTTCCGCTCCGGTGGTGGGTGTACACCCAGGACCCCATTCCAACCCATAGTGGCCTGGTCTCGGCTAGCTGATGAAAGTCCGTGACGTGCGGTGAGGTCAATGGTTGGGGAGGCACTGGCTAGTATCGCAGCCAGATTTACACACACACACATTCGCCCCATAGAGGGAGCTGAAATTCACCATTCAATTGGCACGCTGCACAATGACTATCGGTCAGGCGGCACTATTTCATATTTCATATCAGCATTCTTTACAACACACGCGTACAGGTGAGTTACGTATTCAATTCACGTTTTATAGGCGAATGCAGTTCCACTATTCATACTCGTTCAACACAAATGAAGATACATATTGCATGGTCTTACCTTGACTTTAATTCTAGATTTGAAGCTCTCGTGACTGCAAGGATTCATATTCTTGTTTTTTTTTTTCTCGGTCAAGTCACGCAGGTAAAATAAAATAAATGAAAACAACTAAATTCAGTCGCGACGTTTTCGGGAGGCAACACCAGCTTCCGTCTTCAGGTGGAACAGTCGCAGCAGAAGATCTGTGTCACGTGGAGAGCTCTTGAGACACCCAAGATTATATAGACGGGGTTCAGGGAGGGGCTAAGTTAAGCCGCCTTTTGTTATGCTGCAGGGGGTTTGGGGGAAGCGATGGCGTGGTGCTTGAGAGCGAGTACATACAACCCACTAGAAGCAACGGCAATGGCCGTACAATTATAAGGCAGCTAAAGTTTGACTTGGTTGATGACATCTTTCCAATGGTTGCTCAATTTAAAACCTTCCTCGGTTGAAGTTGTCTATTTTTGTACATCTGGATGGCTTCATGGACAAATCTTTGGTAGTATCCGGGAGGTTTGCAGAGAACTTTGGCATCGGAGAAAACAATATCATGAGAACCCCGCTGTGTTGAGACAGTGATCAGCCACGGCCGAAGAATTCGTTCTGCCGAGTTTCAAAATCTGATTTGTGCTCGCGAATTCGGTCAGAAATATGTCGCTTCGTCTCCCCGATATAGCAGTCGCCACAGGTGTACGGGTGTTGTGGGAAGGAAACGCAGTGTGGGAAGGTAACGCAGCCACACCATGGTGGCTACAACCACGTCCGCTATAGCCCCGCCCCTCAGTGGTGTATGGGTATAAAGGGCGCGGAGCCAGAGAGCTCGGGGCAGTGTGTTGGGGCCAAGAATGAAGAACCAGTGAAGAAGGAAGGCCGGCTAGATAGACCCTGGGACTTCCCTGACCGCTGTCCTTGTGAGGGCCGGCAGGGTAAGCCAGTGGTGCGGCCCCAGAGCCTCAGAGCCGGAGCCCTTTTAAGGGTCGGTCTGGTTGGTGGGGTGCCGTGATCTGTGCTTGACCAGGGCCAGATCAGATAGCCTCCTCTAGCGCCTGTAGCGGAGGAACTGGGAGCACAGGAGTTAGGCTAGATAGCCTAGGGGGTGTCCCAGCGTGTATACGGGTGAAAAAGCCGTTACCCCTTCCAGTGTAACCCTTGTTAAGTTAAATAAACAGTGCTGCCTCTACTCCACCGTCTCAGTGTCCCGTGAACCCACTACACAGGTACAACTCAATTTGTAAACACCGGGGTACTGTAAGTCAGGAATGACGTCCTTTACGGATGGGATCAGATCACGGATTTTGTGTACTGTATTGAACCGGACCTGGATCTTGTGTTTAGAATTTTGGAAATATTTTTGGTAACGCCTGCTATGTATGGCAGTGTGATGATTTTGATCGGAGTATCAGGTGGTTTGTTTCTGTATGGTGGGAGAAACAGCTTGGCGGATAGTACGGTCCTTTGGATTGCACTCTCATGCTCACATATCCTTTGGATTACACTCTCATGCTCATGTCCTTTGGATTACACTCTCATGCTCACATATCCTTTGGATTACACTCTCATGCTCGCATGTCCTTTGGATTGCACTCATGCTCACATATCCTTTGGATTACACTCTCATGCTCACATGTCCTTTGGGTTGCACTCCCTAGTCGAGGAGGCCGCTCCCCTCCTATCTTACAGTTGCACATTAACATCATGCTAATTAACATCACGCTAATCTCTCACATTAACATCACTGGCCCCGGCCACTTCTTTTTGACCCTTGGGCTACACCCATTTCAAACCTTTTAAAGCAGTCTGCCTCAGCGGCAGGCCAAGGCTTCCCCCACCTGATGATGGACGCTTGGTGTTTCGCCCGAAACGTCGTGATTTATTTTATTTGTTCTGCCGACTACGTGACGACTTTAAAGAGAGACGCACAGAGTGTGTGGATCCCTGCAGTTACGAAAGCCTCAAATCAACGATTGCTTCCAGAATGTTACGAAACATCATTCTCCTCTCATCTCTCATCGGCTGTTGACTTCGGGCAGTGTCGGGCCAAGCGCGACGCATTTCTGCCCGAATCGATCACGGAAACTTGACGAGCTCCCGTCCCTGGCGTTCCACAGCTCCCGTCGTGTCGCGGATTCGTGCGCAGCAGAATCCAGTGTCCGTTACTTTATGCTGTAAATGCCCTCGCGAAGAAGCAGGTCGATGCCCTTTGACAGCCAGAGGTCATACCCGGCGGCCGTCACCAGGGTGCCACCGTCCCCAACCGTCGGGATTTTCGCTCATAATCCGGAACACAGCAGGCAGATCCGATTGGTAGCTGCTGATCGTCCGAACGAGTCCACAATCTGAGCTCCATCCCGTGGGCGCTGCTCTTGGTGAACGTCGCTTCGCGACATCGTCCAGTCGCTGGGGTGCGCCTGGTCGACTTATTGAAAAACGTCGCAAGTCCCTCAACTTCTTTCGGTAAATCATATTCTTAGTTTTTTTTCGGTAAAGTCACGTTGAAGAGAAACAACAAAATAATAAAATATATATAAAAATAAAAAATTCTCACGACGTTTCGACCATAACTCAAACGGGCGTCTTCAGGTGTGTTGGTTCACATAAATTTATTTTTTATTTTCTTTCGGTAAAGTCACGTAGAAGGGAAACAATAAAAAACGCCACTTTTTTCAAATTTTCTTGCCGTGGTTTTCACACCTGATGACGATTGCTCCTGTTGCGGTCGAAACGTCGTGAGAATTTTATTGTTTTATATTTTTTTATTATTTTATCGTTGCCCTTCCACGTGGCGGTGACTTTACCGAAAGGACCAAGAATATGAACCCCTGCAGTCACGAAAGCTTTAAATCGAAATTTAGTCCCAACTGTTTTAAGGAACGTTTTACTCTCAGGCCTACACTTTGCTGAATGCGAGAGCACCGGGTTCACTTTGCGTGCATCACAATGGGTGACCGTGGCTTCAGGTACCCCGTCTTGAATCTTGGCCTGCACCCCACTGAGATCTGATGCCATCACAGAGGCTCCGTCGTTAGTCTGAGCTAGCAGCTTTTAAACGCGATCGTGTTTCCCCAACACTCCCAAAACATGATCAGCAATAGCCTGGTGCTCGTCTGTCATCACTGACACCATCGCATCCCAAGGACGCCTCCCTCACCTCACAAGTGACCTCACTTTCAGCCGCACAACGTAACGTCACAGAGGCCTGGGCTTCGTTTTTTTTGTGACATCTCCCTTGGCGCGTCCACTTCGGCTGCAACAAATGGGGGCCGCATTAATCTCCCCTTTGATTTCATTTCTAATTGCATCACCGACTGCTCCAAAATGTCGAGCTAACTTTTCATCTTTCTCAGCAAAAGCACGCAATAGCCCCACATAGTTGTCACGATCAGAAGAGCCTTTCAATTCTAGATTTAAAGCTTTCGTGACTGCAAGGATCCATACTCTTTGGTTCTATTCGGTAAAGTCACGTAGGTAAATAATAAAGCAACAATAATCGAAACGTCGTGATTAGTGTTGCTTTATTATTTACCTACGTGACTTTACCGAATAGAACCAAAGAGTAAAGAGCCTTTCACTCTCATCATTACCACGAAATGCCAATTCCTGTTCGGCTAGGAAGCAGGTTCGCATTAATAAGGCCTTTTAAAACCTCACGGTTTTCCTTAAACCTCGGCATTGTGGATGCTGAATAGTAAATCTCTGCCGTTCATTCAAAGCCAGATCCATCCTTGAAGCTCCAAAAGTTTTTAAAGCGATTTGGCTTTGAATGCCCACTTGCCGATTCTTCACGTCCGTAGAGGTTCCTCGGTAGATTTTTCAAGTCACAGAATCCCGCGTGAGTCCAGTCCAAACGTCGCCGGCAGTGGAGAACAGAAGGCAGGGGAAGCGGTGAAGGCGATTTACTTTCGTAGCACAGCCACGCAGCCAGTCTTTTCGTTGACACCACTCCATTTGAAATGACCGT